AGGGAGCTGGGGGTGTTCAGCCTGGAGAAGAGGAGGCTGAGGGGAGACCTGATCGCTCTCTACAACTGCCTGACAGGAGGGGGCAGGGAGGTGGGTGTTGGTCTCTTCTCCCAAGTAACAAGCGACAGGATGAGAGGAAATGGGCTCAAGTTGTGCCAGGGGAAGTTTAGATGGTGGTTTTCCCTGGGCTGTGCCCTGACCTGAGCCTTCCTCCTGCAGGCCTCAGCGTGCCGGCCTGGTGCTATGCGATGCTCCCTGAAGCGCTCCCTCACAGCTGCGCTTGCAGCCTCCTTCCTCCTCCTCCTCCTCCTCCTCCATGGGGGCAGCTGGCAGGAACAGGATCCCCTGGAGGTGAGTTGCCCACCAGCAATGTCCCACTGGAGGGGCCACTGGAGCATCCTCCATCCCTGCCTGCCCCACACGGACCCCAACCCCAGCTCTGCTCCCTTCCCTGCCCCTTATCACCCCCGAACCCCAGCTCTGCCTCCTCCTCTCCCTGGGGTTGCCCTGTGCACCTGGGCCTCCTCCGAGCCAGGAGCTGGGAGGGCAGGGCAGGGGCTCCCCCTCCTTTCTGGGTTCCCCCGTTGTCATTCCCCCTTGCTCACGTGTTCACGGTGCTCTGGGGTCTGACCTGGCTGTCTGCGCCTCCCATCCAGGTGGAGCTCAGGGGCTTGGCCCCAGCCACGGCCCTGCAGATGCTGCAGCTGGAAGGAGCCCGGCGCACCCTCAGGGACACGGATGACCTCTCTGCACTCCGCAATGTCTCCTACCACATCCTCGCTGGCTCCCTGTCACCCCACAAAAGTGAGTGGCTCCAGGACTGCAGACTGAGCAGGGCTCTGGGTTTGCACATCTCTCCCATCACAGCTGCACGTCCCAGCATGGATCTGCCCCATCGCTGCTGCTGCCGGGGTGGGGAGGGGGCTGCTTCCAAACTTTTTGGGATAGGGGACCTGCCGATACCTGGTGACCTCCCGCTAGCCAGCCTTTGCTGCTGTCTGGGGCGATGGAGGGGTAGAGGAAGGTCCGTGTGCTCCAAGCGTGGTCCACGCTTCTGCACCTTGGGACCACAGGCATTTTGGGTTTCCCAGATCTCTGTGGGGAGGGTGGCTGAGACCCCATCTCCGTGGAGTTGCGTTTTCTGCTCTCCAGTCGGGAAGGTGGAGATGGAGAGGCTGGACCACTAGGACAACCGCGTAGTGTGGGAGATGTGGGCCAAGCTCTCGGACAGCTGCATGAAAATTCACATGCAAACACCATGGGAAGGAGCTTAGGGCAGCCCCACGCAAGCCCGTGCTGAAACCAGAGGTCCAGTACGTGCACGGTGCTGCACAGCAAGAGAAGCTGCAAATGCAGCCACAGCTGGGCTGTGCGGAGGGCAGAAGTTTGCCTCATCCCAGTGTGGTCGCATCTCCGCAAGGTTCGGACTAGGGTAGGGGCACACTCCCAGGATGCGTAGCCATGCCACAAAGCCATCCCTGCCCTGCAGACTGTCTCTGCACTGGTCCTTCCCCAGGTTTGGCTTTTTAAGGTGTTTTTCCCAAATATTTCTTCTTCAGAGGAGCCCCTGACTTCTCATCCTGTCCTCTCCCTGCCATTTGGGCCAATTTTGGGCACCTCCTGAAACACTGGCAGCTCCAGCTTCAGCAAGGACCTGCCGGCCTTGGACATGGGGCCATAAAAGCATTAACCGTGCGGGCTGGCCATGCGGAGAGCTTTTTGGAGCCCCCTCCTTGTGGCTTGCAGGGAATCATCACCGTGATGCATCCCAGGTCACCCCTCAACCTGCTAATGCCTTTCCTTTGCCTTGCAGAATTCTTGGCGGTGGGATTGGCGTCGGTGCGGCGGCCACGTGGCTACTACCTCCCAGCCACGCTCCAGTCCCTCTTCAAGCAGTCAACGGAGGAGGAGCTGCAGGAGATGGTGGTGGTGGTGCACCTGGCTGACGCGGACCTCACATGGAACATGCAGGTGGCCACCAACATCACCCAAAAGTTTGCTCACCACATCCTCCTGGGCCGACTCCTGCTTATCCACACTCCCCACAAGTTTTACCCCACCCTGGAGGGCCTCAAGAGAAACTACAACGACCCGGAGGAGCGGGTGAGGTTCAGGTCCAAGCAGAACGTGGACTATGCCTTCCTCCTCGCCTTTGCCGCCAACCTCTCCTCCTACTACTTGATGATCGAGGATGATGTGTGGTGCGCCAAGTCCTTCTTGACAGCCATCCGCAAGGCACTGGCTTCCCGGGAAGGCTCCAACTGGGCCACCCTTGAGTTCTCCAAGCTGGGCTACATCGGTAAGCTCTACCGCTCCAGTGACCTTCCTCGTCTGGCTCGTTTCCTCCTCCTCTTCTACCAGGAGATGCCCTGTGACTGGCTGCTGGTCCACTTCCGCCTCCTGCTCACCCAGAAGGACGTCATCCGCTTCAAGCCCTCCCTCTTCCAGCACATGGGCCTCTACTCCTCTTTCCAGGGCACTGTCAACCGGCTGGAGGACGATGAGTTCCAGGCTGATGCCTGGGACCTTCCAGACAACCCACCAGCGGCCTTGTTCACCAGCATGTCTGTCTTTGAGAACTACGAACCCCTCAAGGCTTACAGCACAGCAGAGGGGTATTTTTGGGGAAAAGACCCGGCAGCCGGCAGCATCTTCTCCATCGTCTTCCATCAGCCAGCCCGTGTCACCCGTGTCCGGGTGCGCACAGGCTCCGACGAGCGCCAGGGCGATTTCCTGCACGCGGGGGTGCTGGAGCTGGGCCGTCAGCGGCGGGCCGAACTGCTCTGCCTACACCACCGTGGGCACCTTTGAGAAAGGGACCTTTGAGCAGCGGGGGCTGGAGAGGAGCGTGCCCGGCCCTGTGGAGTGCGTGAGGATCCGGGTAACCCGGGAGCAGAGCGAGTGGCTCATCATCCAGAGCATCGACATCTGGACCGCGGCAGGCACCTGACCAGGGACACGGCAGGTTGCCAAAGCAGCTGGATTCCGTACTGAGAGGTCTTTTATTTTTCTCACTCCCTTTTTTGATAAGGAATAGATAACTGACTCCCGCTGGCACTGCCGCCTGTCTCCGGAGGGACGGCAGGCGCTGCTGCAGGATGTGGACGGGGCCGGAGGCAGGGCTCACCAGGCTGTGCCTGCTTGGGGGATGCCCCAGCGAGCCATGGAGGGGGCACGGGGAGGAGCGGAGGCTTGGGAGTTTCAGGCTGGGCAGCAGAAACCGCTTCTTCCCATGGAGGACAGTGCGCAGGACAGAGCTAATCAACAAACCAAATAGTTAACCAGGCACTGGCATTTTTTGCAACCTCTTCACACCACCCCTTCCCCATCTGAGTTTCCTAACCCACCGACTCCCCATTTCTAACTTGCAGGTTTTTCCCCTCTCCTATCCCATTTTCAAGCTGTTCCTGGGAGGGGCCAGGGGAAGATCCGGGGGTGCTGCTCACCAAACCCCTCGCCCTCCAGGATCAGGGGCCCGGGGAGGAGCAGGACCCCCACCACTGGTGGCCACCGGTGTCTCGGCGCTGACCACGGGGCAGTGGCCACCAGATGGACCCATCGCACCGGCTCAGTCCCTGTGCCGCAGCCGCAGCCGCAGCAGCTCTCGTCCAGCAGCTGCTGGCGTTCAGACCCTTCAAACAGAATTTCCCCCTCTCGGGGGGCTGCAGTTCCCAGGGACCACACCCTGTGTCCATGAGGGATTCACACCGAGAGGGAAGGACAGGGAAGATGGGGTTTCTAAAAGCGGGAGAAAGGTCCAACGATTGAGGACCACGGAATGAGGATGGGTAAGGGAAAACATGACCTCAATATGATGTAGAACTCTGGGTACTTTTTAGCCTGGCAAGGTGCTGAAGGGTGTCTGGGGTACATGCAGGCTGCAGGCACAAAGCCCCCGAAAAGCTCATTTGGATTTGTCTGGCAGGATCAGCGTGGAGGGCTGGATCCTGCTGCGCAGCTCGGTCAAAAGCTGCTGGCACTAGCATGCAAGGCAGTGACCGGCACCTCTCCCATTTAGGTTTTCAGCAACAATTGCTCAGCTTTCAACAAACAAGAAGGAATCCTGACCTGCTTGGCCTTCCTGCGAGACAGCTCGGAGCAGTCTGTCGCTAACTTGTGCCAAGCAGGACTGCTCTGGTTTGCTGGCATTTTAAGCCCAGCTCTCCTGGAGCAAGACAGTCACCCTGCGAGCAGAGACGGGCACAAACCAGTGCCAGGGGACCCACCTGCAGTCCCGAAACACCCAAAGTGCCGTAAGCACAGCTCAGTCTCGAGGTTGTGCATCAGCCTGCCTGCTGGGCACTGGAAGGCAGCCTGGAGAGCAGCTGCTCAGTGCTGGGAGCTCCAGACCTGGCATGATGGGACTTTTCCCTGAAAAAAAGCCAGCCGTGTAATAGGTCTTTTGTCTGCATTTAATACAGAGATGCTACATGATGAACTCCAGCACCTTCCTGACATTATCAATGTTCTCAGTGGGATCAATATACACATTGCAGAACCACTTCCGTTTCCTCCACACAGCCCAAGTGCAGTCAGAGCTCTCAGAGCGTTTTGAGTAGCACAAGTGTCCCCTTTCCAGGGCCCCAAGACAAGTATTTACAGTGCTCCAGTAGAGCCTCTGCCCCAGTTCTCTCGGACACAAATGCCCCCGACCGCACTGTGAGCGTCAAGGGTTACTAATGTGGGTACAAACGGAAAGCTTTCTCCCCAGGATGTTTTTATCCACTGCTAAAGCAGGAAAAGATGTAAATGTAAATCAACCTTCTACCTGTTGGTCTCTTGCTTGTGAATGTACTAATCAGTTCTGTGATATTCACCTACACAGAAACAAGCTGCAGTCTCACTTACGCTGGTGTAAATCTGGACAGCCTCCACCGAATAGAGTGGAGATCCGTTCAGTTTACACCAGGGTAAATGCAATCAGCAGCTGACCACTGGCAGGGAACGCGCTCCTCCTCCTTCCAGGGCAACGCACTTGTCTCAGCACCATGACACCCAATTAACATCGGTGCAAACTGGAGGAGGAGGAGAAGGCTTCTTTGTCCTGGAGGAGCGCCACATCATTTATCCCACATAAAAATTATCCCGCTATTTTTATCTCCGGAAGACTCAGCCAGCGTCCAACAGTCCATACCGAGACCCCTGTCTCTGATGCGGGGGTGGGCTGACGGAGACTTCTGTCCCAGCAAGTGGTGCCCGCAGGGCCCAGCTGAGCACAGCGCGCTGCAGCTGCAGCCCCCGCGCCAGTCAGCCCGTGAACCGCGGCAGCAGCGCTGCATATGACCGACCATGTACATGCAGCCACGGGGCTAACGATCAGCACAGATCTCAGCCGGGCAAGGGATAAGGAGCCTCTGGGCTGAGAGGTAAAAGGCAAGGGGACAAAACCAGAGGCAAGCGTTTTGGTCTGCTTCTCTCTATGGAGACAGTAAATCAGAGAGGGTTAGAGCTTTCAGTCGAACACCACGGATGTCCTGAAGGATGACTTGCTGTCCGTCTCGACCAGCGGAGCTACCCCGTCTCTTGGGAAGTGGTGCCGCGTAGCTCAGCAAAGATCTAGCTCAGCATCTTGTGGCGGTCGAAAACTGTCTTCCTCTGCTCCTGCACCTGGCGCTTCCAGCGCTGCTGGGCCCCCTCCACCCTCTCCAGCACCGTGTTGGCTCTAGCGCCAGACGGGGTCGGGGCTGCGGCCAAGGAGCGAGCATCCTGCAATGGAGAGAAATGGTGGAAGAGATCAAGGCATGCCCAGCCCCAACACAGAATACGGCAGCTTGACTCTGGGAGAAATTTCAACCAAAAGAGCAATTCAAGGCTTGAGTTGTCCTCCTAGTTTCAGAGCTCCTCAACACCAGTTTCCCAGCTCCAGCTGGAAAGCTTGCTCTTGGGGACCACCCACGGTAAAGTCACAGGCCCCAAATAAAAAGTTCCCAGGAGAGGAACTGCACTAAGTCTAAACCTCTCCTGGAAATCCACTGCTAGGAGTCTGCAAGGAGCCACACTGCTAAAGTGAACTGCATCACCCCACTCAAATTGGGCCAACAATTTCTGTTGTCCTCGGCGCACTAGCTTACACAGTGGCTGCTCATCTGTTTCTCAGATGGTGCTGCAGGACTTTTGTCCAGCCCTGCTGTTCAGACCACGCCAAACCACCACATTTATGCTGCAGTAATGTCAGAAGGCCCCTTGGATGGGGATCCATCGTGGCACACAAACACCAATGCAATCACAAGGCCTATCCCAAAGAGTTTACAGTCCAGCACACTGAAGTACGATAAACCTTGCCTAATATCAGGCATCTACAGCGTGCACCTAGATCTAAATCTGAATTATTCCTGTGGAGCAAAAGCATGCTTTTAGGATACGAGTCATGTCCTCCTTTTTTCAGCAGAGGGAGGCAATGGATAGACAGTGCACTTCAGAGCAGCTACTCCTCACTTGCATCAGCATATGAAAGAATTGGGCCAAATAGTTTATACTTACAACAAAGTATAAACAGGACAGTCTGTTTTCTCAGAGACTAGGAAAGAAGAATATCTTCAAACATTGCAACTTCCCTTCTCAAAGTGTGACTGAGCTCATCACCAGCGTCCAGAATCACCAATTGCTAGGGAAGGCTCCTCACGAGCCTCCTCCCAGCAGCCGGGGGCCTGGAGCAGCAGCCAGGCGGTGCTCGAGCACAGCCCTGGGGCTCCACCAAGGGAAGGAACTCGGCTCCAGGAGAGAGCTCTGCCGAGCACTGCGCCCTGCTAAACTGCGCACGTCTGATCTGAGAAAGCCACAGGGAAAGCTGTGTCGCAGAGCCACAGGCTGCACTAACAGGCAGCAAGTCCTGGACAGCCCTTGCGTCTCGCAAACACAGCATGAGCTACAGATGCAATCAAGCGTGAGAGCTCATCACTGTGCACGCAGCCACTCCACTCCTCCACACGAGCCATCAGCTCTGCCTCCAACACTTCCTCTCCGAGAGACCATCCCATCTCAGTCTCCTGTATTTCCCT